ACCTTTTAATTGGAGAGCTCACCTATCAAGCATTTTTATTCTAGTTAAATACCTGGAGTATCTTCATCATTGAAATCTTACCTTTTAATTGGAGAGCTCACCTATCAACCATTTTTATTCTAGTTAAATACCTGGAGTATCTTCATCATTGAAATCTTACCTTTTAATTGGAGAGCTCACCTATCAACCATTTTTATTCTAGTTAAATACCTGGAGTATAATCATCTTTTTAAAGTAACATCACCTTGTGATATCTGTGCTGGTTAAATATCTGCTGAATGTATACATTTACATGTATTTGCTCCACAAGTGTGCAGATCTTTGATCTACCTCTTCATTACCTCACCAACAGTTTTTGGAGCAGTATAAATTGATTTCATGTTAAACAAGATCAATGTTATCCCTAGTTTCTCAACTCTTTCAACTATCTGCTGGTCGCCTTCTGCAAATGGTACCTGATATAAGATGGTGTTGAGTCAGCTTGATATGGTGCTAGTCACATAACTGGCTTGTCAGAATTTGACTACAAATGACTTAAATTTACCAACTCATTTACTGAGTTGTCACTAGACCACATTGTATCTAGCTACCAGGAAAAGATGCAGACCTTACCTCATGTCTTCATTTTCAACATGAATTTTATTTCTAACTACCCTAGTATTTCTTGTGTATAGATATGATGAAAAGCCTTCAGCCAAATTTATGAAAAAATGACATTTAAAATATTATTTTCTTAATCAGTACTGTATTATAGTAACTCTCTTTAAATTCTATAACTATCCAGTTGACTTTTTAAATATAAGATTATTTTGTGTCTTCTGCTAACTTTGGTCCAAACTTTTACTGACTTTCAAAATTTAGCTTTCTCTTTCTACTTTTTTGCTTGACGTGCCTTTTGTTAAATTTTCAAAACAAAGCTGAAATTCTGAAAAAGGTATCTGTGTGATGCCTCCAGTATCTTTACCTTTTTCTTCCTTGAATCCTCTCCAAGTCATGCCAGAAACAGGCCTACAGTCTCCCAGTCATGTCAGAAACAGGTCATAGTGTTTCTCATTCATTCAAGAATCATGCCACAGTGTAAAAGATAAACATTTACACTGATAATTTCAAAGCTCCAAAATTAATATAAACAAGTCATTTGTGGTCTTCATATTCAGCCAATCACAGTTAACACTTCAAAACAAATTAGATGCCACTTTCTGTTCTCAAGGCGTTTTTTTTTACAACTTACAGTTGTTTGAGTCAAAGCAGTGGCTCAATATAATATTTTGATACCTCCCTAGTTTTTGTTTGGCTCTGATGATGTGCTGCTGTTGGTATCAGATTATCTGCTGTCTCAAGACAACCTGTCTACAAAACACTCAACAGTTCAAAAACATTTTATCTCTATTCAAACAAGTTTTAGATAGATATTCTTTGGAAAGACAAATAATTTCTTGTGTGTAGATTTTTCAAACTTGAAAATTTCTCAGCTGATATTTCTAAGTTCGCCACAACCTCGGAGTTGAACATTTTATGCACTGGACTGATGGTGGAGAAAAGGTCCTTAATAAAAAGGATTACAAATTTCACTCAGAGGCCAACATAGTAGAGGTTTAAAGCTTTGTTTACATTTGGTTGTGTCTGTGTTCAGTTGCACAACCAGTGGCACATTCGCCAGCACTTTAGTGAACTGTTAACTATCATGTCAGTCAATACAATCTGTTTAACTATCATGTCAGTCAATACAATCTGTAGTCAACAGCTACATCTGTGTTTTCAATCTGAGCTTGTTGTCTCTTCATTTCATTCAACAACTCAGCTTTTTAGCAGATTATTGGATGTAAGGCTGAATCTTTTGGTACTCCTGTTTGACAACTACCTAAGAGTGTTCAAATTCTTGATGGGGCAAATCATTTCTAATTCTGAACCAAGTTTTACAATGCTTTTTTTTAAAAGCATGACAAATTGGCAAATAGATTTGTAATAAGCTTATCAGATTGTCTTTAAAAAAAGACCTTGGCGTATCATATTCTCCGAAAGTCTGGCCATTTCCAGAATAGGATATAACAGAGGGTATTAGATTTGATTTTTATTTGCAGACAGGAAAAGAGAGGGCACAAAGAAAGCATGTGCCCAGCTCCACAGGGTTCCCTCGTCTATGACTCAAGAAATGCTGAGTCTGCTGTTTCCATTCTCACTCAGTGTTCAAATTTCAAACACCGACACACAGCAGAAGGGAATATCAGGGTAAGTTGATGACACAGGTCACCTTAGACCAGGCACTGGTCAGCAGATGGGTTAAGTTTTCTGTTGGAAATGTCGTTGTATACAACAGAAATCTTTTATTTTTCACTCAAGTCTAACTATTGACAAAACAACCTTAATACAAGAATAATATCATCTGTTAATTTCCACTTTCTTACCTTCAGTCCTGTCAGTATATAGACACATACTGTATAGTAGCAGTTATGAAAAGCATTGCTATTCACTTGAACAATTGTTTGGTCTGTAACAAAGTGAAATAAAAAAATTGTTTCACTATCTCTGTTGTCTGGTTTCAACTTTTACAAGCTGGAAGAAAACAGTTCACCTATTAAACATCAACCACAGAAAGATATAAATTCTGCTTCTTCTGCCTCTAAGACCATTTCCCTGTTCTTAAAAGAGAACTTTTAGTTTTGTTTTTACATAAGGCCATCAGTTTTCTTTGCTTCCACCTACTTTACTTTGGTTAGTTGACCTTGGGAAAATTATGTGGCATCCACATATTTATTGACTGATATTTCAAGCCATTCTGATCAACTTTATTTCTAAAATGTTCATAAGATTGGTGTTTCCATTATTAGAATGTTGAATGTCTGAATGGATCAGAGTCAGTTCATATACAGCACAGAACATTTCTTTGTGAGCCTCACTTTGATCTCTTGACACTGAAGTATTATAAAAAGTTTTGTTCAGTCAGAACCTGGGCTGTACCTGATTATCCTAGACAAACAGATCAAAAAGCTTATCCAGACAGGGTTCTCTCCTATATTGTTCTGAAGAATGAACATATTTTGCTGTTGTTACTTGATGTTTCAGCAGACCAGTTCTTGTTCATGGCATTGATGAGTAACAATTCAGCTTATTACAAATAAGCTGCCATAATTTTTGAATTTGTAGTCTAAAAATATCCTATCACTCTTAATTCTTTGTCGCAATCCTTAAATTACATTGTCATTTTTTCACATGGTACAATGATTTGCAGAATTTCCTTACCTATTTTTTTTTTTACGGAATATCTACATCTCAGTAGTGTTGAACCTTGTAGGCAGCCAGTCTCCTGAAAATCATACTTTAAACCTGACAACACTGAATATTCTTCTTACTATCTTTGTAGGAGCACCAAATATAACAAGGTATTTGTTACAGCAAATTGCTCAACATCTATATTCAATTTTGATCAGCTGGCTATTTTCATATCTATAGCCAAAGAGACAAAGATGTTTGTTGAATCTGGACATCTTCTGAAGATAATTTTCTGATCTTGTTTTTGTGATTAAACTTGAATACATTTGACCAGTCCAATAGTGGAATAAAACCTGCCAAAAATGTGCTTACTAGTTGTATAGAGCTATGGAAGTTTCAAGTTCACCTTGGCAACTTTTGAAACTTTAAGGGAAAAGATCACTAAACAATGAAGAAAACAACTCTTGCAAGCATGAATAGCTAAGAACAATAGCTCTTTCCAATTTTTTCCCCCTAATTTTGATTTTAAAAAAAAATTTCTTTCTGTTTGAAAAAGTTATTTGCCAAGAAATTTTCTTTTAAAGGATCTAAACACTGAGGTTCAAATCTGACTATACCTCACACAGAACTTTGCCTGTTATGAGACTCTTGTTTTATTGGAAGTAACAAGGCAAAAAAAAATATTATATTGGCTACACTCGCTTAATAGTTCTACAAGGCAGCAGAATAGATTTAACATTTCAAACTCTGTGTGACTTTCATTTTTCAATGGTACATGCTGATTTAAAACTGAAACCTGTAATTTTCAGTGTATTTTATTGTTTTTCCCTTGTATTCCATTTTCAGAAATATCTTTTGATATTTAAAATTGAAACCTCCAACATTCACTAATATATTTACAAAACATTAAGTTAAGAAATTTATTTTCAATGGTATGAGCTATATGCACATTTTGTTTCTTAACAATATTTTTTAAAGCTGAAATGATCACTATTCAAAACAACAAGATTACAGTTGATGCAAACTCAATGAACAAGTGTGTTAAATAAAAAATACAAAAGATTGAGAAGAGAAATATCTCAATTTAAGTACTGGCTCTACATGTTTATGTGCTGGTCACTTTTGTGATTCAAGGGATTTCTTGTCTTAACCATTCACTGTGTTACCACATGTTTTGGTGTCTCAACTTTGACATGTTTTGATGACACAAATTTTCCATTTTTTATTGGTTGCCACTATCCAACCTGTTACCATTGTGTCGTGTATTTTGGTTTACGTTGTTACCACCCTCCCCAGGCCTGTCACCATTAGTGACACAATTTACCAATGTTGTACCTTGTTACCACCCTCCCCCCAGGCCTGTCACCATTAGTGACACAATTTACCAATGTTTGTTACCACCCTCCCCCAGGCCGGTCTCTGTGGAGTTTGAAAGCCAAGAATGGATGGAAGCTGTCCTGACCTGTTTCCAAGATTTTATTTACATCTCATTAAAGGGTCATGTGAAACCTTTCTACCTGAGGATAACCAACTTCACCCCACCCCCCAGAGAAGCAGTCAGAGGTAAAGTGTTTCTACTCACCATATATTGGTGGTGTACTAAGTCATACCTGTATAAAGTATATGTAATGAGAAGTTGGTGATTAAAAACTGTTCCCGTTTTTAACTAGCTCGTCCTTCTGCCTGGGACAAAAGTGAAGCAGACGCCAAGCAGCAGAATCCAGGTCACAAGCTGCAGCGGCCTGTCAGTCACGACAGACCTTACCCTGGTCCAGGGAAAGCTGGACATGAGCAGCAGCAGATGACGAGAAATAGAAACGAGGAAGTCAAAAGGTCTGTATCAGCATGTGTATGCAACATTTTTAGTGATTTAAATAAGGGTAATTTTATATCTTTCAATTTACAACTAAAAAAGGTTGTATTATTCAACTAGTATGGCATCCAGTCCAATAATTATTATTCTGCAGAATTTTATTAGCTATATTAATTTACCATTGGAGTTTTTAAAAAATCCATTATTTATAATAGTATTTGTCTTTTACTGGTTGTCTGTGATTATTAAAGTTGATGGTTGTCTTTTATGCTCTGATTATTGAACTTGATGGTTATATTTGAACATCTGATTATTGAAGTTCATGGTATACTTGAACATCTGATTACTGAAGTTGATGGTTGTATTTAAACCTCTGATTATTGAAGTTGATGGTTGTATTTAAACCTCTGATTATTGAAGTTGATGGTTATATTTGAACATCTGATTATTTGGGATTTCCAGGTATGATAACAGGAAGAGAACCTTACTAGAATCCAGAAGCAGAGGAAGGTCACAAGAGAAACGTCCTCGCTTAGCTCACCTGGATCAAACTAGGTTTGATTTTATTTATCACCTCACTTATAATCATTTTACTTTTCAATTCTATATTTAAGAACACAACCTAATTATCCGCTATATTTAAAAAATGGTCTGTCAAGCCATGATGTAAAATGCAAAATTTTAATGATTTGTATTGTAAATTTTTTTTTTAACTAACAGAGGTTTAAATGATCAGAGTATTGGGAGTGTACAAAAAATGGAACAGCCCCAGCTGTTGAACTCCTCAAAAGATGCCCTGCGCATGCTGGCAATTTCCAGAGGTTTGGACCCAAACAACCAGGATGTTATCAAGATTCTTGAGGTGGGTCTGTTGTTAGGGTTGCTTTTTTTTTTACATTTGCTGGAAAAAATCTGGCTAAAACAGGTTTTAGCTTTTTATAATGTATCCAAATATCATTTTATTTTTTATAAACTTATCCATATATCATTTTATTTTTTATAAACTTATTTCATATATCATTTTATTTTTTAAAAACTTATCCTGGTATCATTTTATTTTTTATAAACTAATTCATTGTATCATTTTCTAACAGATGACTACTCAACTCGAGGCATTACAAGCTTTAACAATAAAGCAACGAATGGAAGCTCAATCATTGGTCATTATTGGTCAAGCACAGGATCAGTTGATGCAGCAAAGAAGGGAATCAGAACGTCAAGCTCAAGAACAACTCATGCAGCAAAGAAGGGAATCAGAACGTCAAGAACAACTCATGCAGCAAAGAAGGGAATCAGAACGTCAAGAACAACTCATGCAGCAAAGAAGGGAATCAGAACGTCAAGAACAACTCATGCAGCAAAGAAGAGAATCAGAACGTCAAGAACAACTCATGCAGCAAAGAAGGGAATCAGAACGTCAAGAACAACTCATGAAGAAAAGGAGGGAATCTGAGCGCCAAGCACAAGAAGAGCTAATGCAGCAAAGGAGAGAGTCTGAGCGCCATAAAGCATCACCTCACATGTTTGGCCAGAAAGGGAGATGGGCTGAAGAGGAAAGCAGGAAGAAACGAGACGAAGCCGAACAAAAGCTCAAGGAAAACATTTCACACAAGTTCCAACTGCTTGGAGAGCTCAAAGGTAGAATGCACCAATCAGAAAAGTCCTATAGGAACAGCCCCAAGTCTGTTTCTACCCACACATTTGGCAATGAAGCTAGTATAAAACCTTACAGAAATGCCCCTCCCACTATTGGCCTACTTGGTACTGGCCCTTTGAATGTTCCAAGTGCACCACCGGCTGCTGCATACCCTTCTCAAAAAGATGGAAAAATCAAAGACAGTCTGTTTGCCTTTGCTGGTTACCAGCCAGGTAAAGATCTCTCCCAGGACAAGGGCAAGCACTCAAGTAGGTCTAGATCACCAAGGGAAGCAAACAAGTCAAGGGCATTAAGACTAAACTCTTCTTTAGAAAGGGATGGAAGGAGCAAAAATTCTTTTGGTAGAGCAGATCGGCAAAGTAATGATAGACATTCAAGTAAACAAAGATCAAGTTCAAGACAGAAAAGTGATAACGTCCACTACGGTATGTCATTATTTTCAAAAATTCAAATTGCTTTCCTTGCTGGGATTAATGAAAAGAAAATTTCTTACAAATATTGTTTAAATTAATATAATATGTATTTTAAAATAATTATTATCATACAATTAAACACATTTTGTAATTTTTATTATTGTAATTTTGTAATTTTTATTATCAAATAACTTTTATAGATTTACAGTGTTCATTGAGAAAGTTTAATTAGTAATGGAATATTTAAATTTATTGATTTAATTTTTTTTAAATTTTAAGGTGGACGAGACAATTTGGACCCAAGTAACAATGATACACCTTTAGATTTTCACAAGCGTTCTTCATTTATGAGCACGGAACAAGCCGTGAAACAAGACTTTGACAGAACTGTTCAGGCTCTGCGAGAGGTTAAATCCACCATACCTAAAAGGGAAGAAAAGCGGACTGGAGCCGTAGAGGAACTGTATCTCCCAGTTCAGTTTGGAAAAAATGCCGTCAAGAAAACTCCCTGGGAAATGGAGGAAGAGAAGAGGAAAGCTTTAGACAGGAAGAGGAACTACCCAGATAAGGGTAGAGACAACAATGACAGGAAACTTGGCAACAGCAAGCCAGGCTTCAGGGACACGGGTTATCCACGGTCAAATCCCAGCGGGGAGAAGAGAAAAGATTGGTCAGCAGGGAAAGGTCTGCTGGGTAGTGGTCCTGGTGATCAGTCATATGACATGAATAAGTCTAGAGGGGCACCAGGAAACAGGTTTCAGGGCACAGCACCAGAGACAAAGGGCCTGCTGGGAAGTGCACCTTCTGAGCCCCCGGTTAGAGTGCCACATGGGATCTTGAAGAAAAACTCTGTGGCAGGGGCTGTAGAAAAATATGATAATGTTAACAGAGAAATCCCACGCAATTCTAAACGAAATGCTAGAGCTAATCCCGGAGGGACAGGCATGCACAGAGGTAGAGGCAATCTGCGAGGTGGTGTTGGACACACACCCTTTCCAACTAACAACAGAGGTGTGAATAATCCAAGGGTGTTTAACAAAGAAGCTAAAGAGGAACATGAGTGGGGTGGCACTGAACACCACGACTTTGTTCCTCCAAATTCAAATAGAGGAAATTTTAAGGCTGGGCCACCATTTAGAAATCCACCAAAAGAGTCTTACCCTGGCTGGAAGGATCTGAAGTCTGATTACAAGCCAGATTACCCAACCAATGACTGGAACCAGGAGTGGTCTGCTAGTGGGGCAGAACCTTCATACTATGGTGCAGGACAAGACCCACCTGACACTTACAGCCAAGAACAGTTCTACCCGCCTGAGGAGCCCTACGTTGAGGAGTTTGGTGGCCCCATTGAAGAACACCATGCACCTGAATATCCTGAGATTCCAGTAGACACGAGAGCTCCACTTCCCTTGGATAATGCTGAGCACTATGGGGAGATTGGGGAAAGTGCTTGGCAAGGTACATATGACCATCATCCAGTAGGTCCACTGCCAGTCCATGAGGAATCTGCTGGTCCAGCTGAAGCACCATTGGAATATGAAGGCTATGGCTACAGTGGTGAAAGCACAGAATATCCGACAGAGCCAGTGTATTATGAAGGACAAGAGGAGTATTATGATGATAATCAATTTAAAGGCAAAGAATATGCACCTGCTTTTAGGGGACATCCCACCCGGGGCAGAATTGGACTGAATAGGGGCAGAACAAGACCTTTTAGAGGGAGAGGTGAATCAATCAGGGGACATAACTCTTACAGGGGAAGAGTTGCCCAAGGCCCAGCTGTACCAGAACAGCAGTATGATGAGAATGTTGACATGGACTGGAGCAGTTACCCCAGTGATCCTGCACCAAACTTTGGTGGGGAGGAGAGCACAGGGCGCTGGGGGTTTCCTGCTGGGAGAGGGAGAGGCAGGGGAGCCTTCAATACTGGCAGCTTGCTCCCCACACCTCATGAGAGAGAGAACAGCTATGTGGACAACACAAAACAGCAGACTCAAGGATGGGGAGGAGGGCAGAGGTCACAGTTCCCACCCCCTTATACCAATCGAGGTAGAGGAAATACTTACTTTTAAATTTTTATTATCTTTACTTTTGAATTCTTTTATTGTATACCATCATGTGTATGTGAACAAGTTGAGTAACTATTTTATTGTAATTGTTTTAGGGAAAAAAAATGTTTACTGCTGTTGATGATTGTTAAGTTCAGTATCACATATAACTGCATCATTTCTTTTTATTTTAAAATGTCATGTTGAAATTTTTAATTATTGTTCTGAAATAAATAAAAATTGTTTAAAAACTATTTAAAGGTTTTAACCTTATTTATTCTCAAATAATAAAATACATAAAATTCATATGTAACAAGCTAATAAAGTTGTACAATAATTAAAAAAACAAGTTTCATGAACTGTTAATGGCAGCATGAATGTTCAACTTTTGTAGGGTTTCACAAATGTACATGCTTGAATCTATTGACATCCTTATGCCAACAGTAAAGGCTTTCTGTAACAGGGTGGTGGCTTCTTCTGTTGATAGAAATATTCAAGTAGTCAAAAGATTTCAGTGTATATAACTTAAAGAAAAAGAAAACCTTATTTAAACAAAGAATATTGACTTAAAAAAAAAAAGCAAACTCACCTTGGCATAGAGCTGTGAATTCTGCCAGGTTTTTCAAGGCTGACATGACAATGTCGGGGTTCTCTGAGCTTAAGCAGTCCAAATATGTGGCAACAAAGTTGATGGCTTTTCTGGACAAATTAAACAATGTTAGTTATTTAGAAAACCTAGGGGTTAATTTTACAGAAAAACAAACAAACAACAGCCCACTAAACCGGCTGTGGTTCAACTATTTTGTAAGTTAATTATAATAAACCTCCATATTACCTAGGATTCTGTCTCAACAACCTCAGTATCAAAGCAAATGTCATGTTTCTACATTGTTCAAATGGAGATAACATCAAGTTCAACAGCTGACTCTGAAAGAAAAACATTTATCCAATAGCATGAACACACTGGGAGAGGGAAACTAAAAAAATATAGAACAGTTCATCTAGTAAAGCAAGATTAAACAAACAACAATAGAAAACTTACTTAAATCTAAGGGTTGGTTTTGGAAGTAGTACTAACCTCAAAATGAATCAAAATGTCAATTTTTCTTTTAGACTTGTCATCTAATTCTAACAGACCTGACAGAAGATCTGAAAAGAAAAATGTATTTTGTCCATCTACGGTTCATTTTCTTTTTTAATGATAAGTAAAATCCTCCATAATTAGGCTCACAAGTAGAAGGTAAGATTTTAAATAATGAACAACACAGTTGAGCTAACTACATGTAATACTCGCTAGAACAGGATGGATTAAGAGAACCACACCCACATTTTTTTTGTTAGAAATCTCATGCCGCACCATTTTCATACAAACCTTCAGGAGAATTTTTCTTTAACTTCCTCATTATTGGGAGAAGTTGAGCATTAGTAAAGCCAGGGTTGTTGGTGAGAAAGCTGGACAAAATTGCAGCTTTCCCTCCCTGCTTTGAGCTTGGACTGTTTTCAGACTGTCTGGGCAAGGTTAAGTTTGTCATCAGTGCTTTCAGTTCAAAAATATCTGGATAAATCGAGGCCAGGTTGCTGAAAATTAATTTATGTACATAATTACACTATGCATTTATTTTTTACTTTGAAAAAATTATGGGATGGACAAAAAACGTGGGTACGTTCACCATCAAATTTCCAAAATTCGTGTGTTATGTGCTTTTCGCTTTAATCATAAATCTGCCCGACCCACGTTTTTTGTCATCAAATGTATGAACAGTCATCACAAGAACCTGCACAGCTCGAGGAAGCACAAAATCTACGAGCAGTCATTGGTAGATCCCTTAGGGTCGGAAGAAAAATTTATTTTCTACTTTTTAGTCCACAAGAAAAACGTGGTTTTTTAAAAAGTTTTTTTTAAGTATTTTATTTTCTCCTTTTTAGTCCGTTGCTACACATGAAAAACGTGGTTTTTAAAAAGTTTTTTTATATAGTTTATTTTCTACTTTATCTAATGACTTGATTAAGTATGACTTGACTAAGTGTTTTTAAATACACGGACTAAAAATCTTGAGCGACCGATACGCTTTAAACAGAGAAGGGGCATAATTTAATTAAGCTAATTTAGGTCTCTAATTGCTAGTTTTTTATGATTGCATCTGAAATTGTTATGTGAGCTTGGCAGTGCGAGACCCACAGCAGCCTACATGCCGTGACCAGGATTCGAACCTGGGTTGTCGCGGCCACTACGCGAAGTACTAACCACTATACGATCACGGCCAGCGCGCTCACATCGATTGGGGCCGAAGTAACTGTGTCAATAGGCCTCCAGTCTTGTCGGTATCTTTAGAAATCATGTCCTCAATTTTAGGGTCCTTGGGGCGTAATTTAATTAAGCTAATTTAGGTCTCTAATTGCTAGTTTTTATGATTGCATCTGAAATTGTTAGGCGAAAATAGCCTGCATGCCGAATTTCAGATGTCTAGAGCAATCAGAAGTGGGCTAATTTTCGTTGTCAATTTTAACAACAAACCCACAAACGCGAAGCTGAGTTAAGAAAAACGTGTTAAAAAATCAAAGCCTTTGAAAAAATGAACTACAAATTACAAATCAAAATCCTGTCAACTATGTTTATCTAAAGCAAAATATCTTTAGTAATAACTGAGTTAATGGCCCACCTCAACAGCTGAAGTTTCTTTTGTAGCAGTGGCAGAGCTCGTTGTGGGTCGTGTGTTAAAAAGTTTTGAAGTATCAGAACCAGCTTGTGAACTTGGGACCCAAAGCCTTTTTCTTCTGCATGCAGCTGGGGTAAAAACATGAAGTTATTTTTCACTGTTATAAGCAGGACTTTTACCCAAACCATTTAACCAGCTTAACTTGAGGATATAAATACAAGTCTTTAGTACTTTTCACTAGCTATGAATAAAAAAAAATGAACTTTTTAACCATGGGTTAACTTTATTTCTACGCTTGTAAATTTAGTTGTTTATTGCATAATATAGGCATTCTCCAGATGGGGGTACTTGCCATCAGGGAAATATGGCAAAGTGAAAATTGACTTACATTGATCTTAAATGGGAATCTGCATTGGGGATAATTACTTGGAGGGGGAGGAGAAGGGTAGTGTAGGGGGATAATCAGTTTAAAAAATATATACGAATATGTAAAAAAAAATCCACCCAAAACAAAGATAAACAAAACAAAGCAACATTGGCATGCAATAGTTTGTACCACCTCCATCAATGAGAAGAAAGAGTCCAGGACCTCCTCAAGCCCAATGTGTTCATGCCTGAAGACATGGGGCTGCAGGAGCTCAATCAGTCCCAGCATGTGTGTGAACAACAGCAGGCGGTTCGTGTGGCGCATCTCACCCATTGTGAACAGGGTCTGTCCAGATAAAATGGCGCCAATCAATGGCAGCTGCCTGTAAATTAAAGAGCATTATATTAAAAATGTTCTCAAAATTATTTGTAAATTAGTTGTAGAAAAATAAACAACAACAGAGTGAACAGGTTAACCTTAAAAATATCGCTGGATGATGAGCAGCCATTTTCCTACATGCAATGTTGGCATCGTACATTCTGTTCTGAGCTTTCATTCCATGTTGGATTACGCCAAGACTTGAGATCAAACGATGAGAGATTACATCCATCTGTAACGAGGTATAATGTGATATCTCTATTTTTTAACCAATCATACAAAATATTATACAATTTCTAACAAATTTTTAAACATTATTTACATACAATAGACATAAATTATATATATTCAAGTATACACAGTAGATAAAATATTACTTCCTATAAAACTAATTGTTATGTAACTTAGTGAATAAAAAATGAATTACCTGGCACTGTACAGTACGACTAGACATAAGTTCTGAGAGTAATGGGTTGTCTTCAGCCATCCAGGACTGGATATAGGGGAACTGGAGGTATATACTTGTGGCTAGGCTAATGATACACTTGCTCATCAAGCTGGAACAAGACATCAACAAACAATAAGCTTTCTCATCAAGCTGTAATACATCTCTTGACAAAAAAATTCCCACTAACAAAGGAAGTTGCACAGCAAATAAATTGTGCAACTTAGAACTTGATAGAAACAATGTGGGTGGCCACATAATATAGTATTCCTACCCTGTTGCAACATTGTATCCTTCCTGCAAATGGTTGACCACTGTGATGATTCTGTCCATTTCATCGCAAACACAAGACATGAGTAGATCCATCCTGCTCTTTATGATAGTTGGCTGAGAGATGTCTGAGCTATTAGACTTGCTGTTGTTCTGTAGCTCTGTTTCTTCTAGTATCAGATCCACAACAGTGCACAGCTGGGGTGGTGTCAGGTTGAGCACATCTTCTTTCTCCTCCATCTGGCAACATATAACATACAACTCAGTTTAAAACAGATTACTAAAGTTTAGTTGTAGTATACATACATTAAAGAAAAGATTAAAAAGTTGAATGGTAGGATACAAAAGGTTAACAGAAAGCCAAAAGTTTCTTCTTCAATACAGACACTGTCAATATAGGTCCATGGAATGAATGTTAGACGATGTAAGTATCCTACATAAAATGATCTAACATAGCTTGCTGTGAAACAGGTTGTAAATATTGTTAACATAAAAAGTTGAAATAGTCAAAAAATTACTGGGTGGGATCTTGTTTTAGAAAAGTAAACACTAGACAACAACTTGTGATCAGGTTAGTATAATTTTATTAACTTATAAGACAAAAGATTTTTTTAAAACAGTGAAATATTGACAGAATAAGCCAATAACTAGACAATCACATTTATTCAAGGTAATAGAAATGTTATAAGAGACCATCAAATAAGATTACAAACATACCACAAAAAGTTTTCTAAACAAGAAGAGAATGATTTACCTCCTGTGTTCTCTTCTCTCTACCTTGCCAGATTTTTGGAATGTGCTCACATGCCCAAACAAAGTCAAGTACAGCTGTTGGGTCTAGTCTGTACAGTAAATTTTAAAAAAATGTACTGGACATATATTTTAACTTAAGATTTTTGTGACATCTCCAATTTAAAATTCATACTTATATATAACAATAAAACAACAACTCTAAGACACAGAGAACAAAGACAAGTACTTACTCTTTAACCCTTGCAGGCTGCAGCAGACGTGAGAGACAGCGCCGGAGAGTATCCCAGCTGGTTTGGTGGGTTAGGAGGGCCAGAAGGTGAGCCTGACTTGGGACAGCTGCTTCACTAGGGCTGGCTACAGCTGGTCCACTGGAAGAAACTTTGCGGGCAAACAGGAGCTTCTCCTGAAGATCTGGACTGGACTTGACAATCTCTGGGTCCAGCAATGATAGCCAGTCAATAAACAGGATAGCTGAACTTGGAGTCATTGAGGAGCTGAACATTTTAAAAAGTTCTTTAACAAAACAATACAGAATACATAAAAAATTAAACAACCAGCAACATTCTGATGAACAAAAATAGAACTGCCAGAAATCTGACCTGCTGTCTGCAGCCAAAACCTGACATGCCAGTTGGGTCCCTTCTGTTGACCGCCCCTGTGCCAGCAAGTTGTCCATCATGGTGTTGACTGCCAATTCCATGCTCTCTGGGTCTTTTAACTGATGCACACCTAGGAGATACAACAGCAAGCTTGAAGCTTCTCTAAGATATCAATGTTATATTACAATGATAAGGCTGTCCCATTATGACAAGAAACCAATGTCCCATTATTAAAAGAATAGATATATGCTATCAGGACTAGGATAGTTATATTCTGTTATAATAAGGATGTGTATGTCTATCATAACAATGCCTACATCTTCACATTTTTCACAAGTAAAAATGTTCCTAGACAAACAGAATTTAAACAAATTAACATTCAATTTTGAACTTCAGAGGGACTATGTGGTCAATTGTTGAGCTTTTGACTACAAACCCTAAGTCTCGAGTTCGGATCCCGGGCTCTAATACATGCAACATCCGTAAGTCCATCCAGCTCTGATGGTTAACTTACTCATGTTAGGGAAAGTAGAGACTGCTGGGCAAAGTGCAGACCACACTAACCCTTCATATGCTGAGGTCACTAAAAAGGTGAACTAGTTGATCTGTCTAATGGGCCATAAGGTTTGAATACACACTTTTTACCTGAACTCCAGAGCAGTGACTCACCTTCCACAAAGGCCCCAACATCCAGTTTTTGTTTAGAACATTGGCTGACCAGTCCTTCCACCAGTTTGTTGACTGGGGGTTTGCTCTGCCTGGACTTGACGCTGGAGGTCATGAACTGTGTGACAACACAGGTGAGCATGGACTTCTGGCCAGCACCAAAGTTGCTCAGCTTCTCCAGGACTGTGTGCAGTTCAGTGTGGAGTTCAGGCTGGGTAGAGGGACATGTCAAATATGTCTTAACTACATATATCAAACATTTATATTCTCTCTTTTAAAAAGGTAGCATGTCATCAGAGAATATAAAATGTATATTTTGTAGTTATATTTAAATTGAGATGTTATTGTTATGGTAAAAGTAGTTCCTATCTGCATTTAAAAAAGAAATCATACAGATAAATAAATATACCTGTTTTGCTATCAGAACTTTGATGACTGGGCAGGATCTGAAAGTTGCTGTGTACACTTTCTGAGTGAAAACTTCTTTCTTTGGTGAGTTCAAAAGCTGATAGAGAAAATAATGAAAACATTATTTCAAATGTAGTTGAAAGAAACCTTAAAAGCCTATATGACAAATAAAGAACAGACAACATGCCAGGACTTACACTGTCGAAAGCCTTGATGATAACTCCAGCCTTGGCTTTGTCATTGGCTGAGGCCTGGATGAATAAAAAAAAGGGAACATAGTACTGACAGAATTATTTTTAATTTCAAAATGGTAAAAAATTATTTTCTATTACATATATAGTAAATAAGACAATTAAAACCCAGGCAGGTTGAAATGTTAATAAAAGAAAACTGTTTAGCTAAAATTTCTGCTAACCAAAAACAGAAGTAGTTTACCTGTAGAACTAGCTGGAAAAGTTTGGCCGTTCCATTCTCTATATTTACACCATCAGAGAATTTCTGTAGAATAAACAAGACAATAATTCTTGCTCAATGTTAAACCATGTAGTGAACATTTTCTACAGTTGATAGGTAAATCACTGGGTTAAGGCAAGAAAATGAGTTCGTACAATTGAACAACAACAAAATATATCTCAAGTGGATACTCATTCTTTAGTTTGTAGCTTTCAACATTAGATGTATTAGGACTCACAAATACTAAGCAGATACATAAAAAAAGCTGATTACCTGGTCAAGTATTCTAGCCATCTTCTCCACAGAATTAGGTAGGATAACCTCCCCTGTTCCTTTAACATTCCACACATCTTCAGTTGTCATTTCCTCATCAGTCTTTGCAGGTTCTATTTTTTTTTAATTCAAAAATAAGATTTTGATGAGGAAAACAAATATTTTGAAAAAAAAATGCTTTTCCCCCCCCCACTAGCTTTTTTTAAAAATACAGTGAATGTAAGTAAAAGCAATCCCAGAATTCACCTTGAGCATTGATATCCTTGCCCTGTGTCAGAATGCTATAAAAAGCTTGTCCCCCTGTAGCCCCCCTCTCATGCTGTATCTCCACCAGGTTGGCCATGTAGGCTGCGTCAACAACTGCCTGAGAGATCATGCTGGGGTCATTGGCCACAGCCACGTCCAGGGCAGCTAGCAGGCGGGACATGCTGGACACTGGGATACCAAAGGACTGGACAAATAAAACAAGCTGGGTAGGCTCCACTTCCATCAGAGCTGTAAGACAAAAACATTTTTATAATGGTACATCTAAATGCAATACAAATATTATGGCACATAAAAATGCAATACTAATATTATGGCACATAAAAATAGTTGATGATAACCCAATGTTATTTAGAATAATGTGTTCAAGTAATAATGCTACAAAGTATCTAGATATTAATACAGAAATAGTAAATGCTGTAAATTTGTCAATTAGAATAATGGGTTCAAGTAATTAATTGTTTGAAAATTTAGCTCCGATTTAAAGAAGATAAAAAAATCTTGAATGTTAATCCCATGACTGGGTGCTAGCTTAAAGATTTACCAGTACTGACAAGTCTTGAATGTTAACCCCATGACTGGTGCTTGCTTAAAGACTTACCTGCACTGACACGTCTTGAATGACAAGTCTTGAATGATAATCACATGACTAATGCTAGCTTAAAGACTTACCCGCACTGACAAGTCTCTGGGTGCTTGTTTACAGACTTACCCGCACTGACAAGTCTCTGGGTGCTAGCTTAAAGACTTACCCGCACTGACAAGTCTCTGGGTGCTAGCTTAAAGACTTACCCGCACTGACAAGTCTCTCCTCCACAGACCGCAGCATTCGTAACTTCAGCCAATCTGGCAACAGTAGAGCTTCTTCAGATGTATCCAGCAAATACCCAGAGGGCATGCGATTATTTTCTTGAATCCACATGTTAAACAGTTCCATATACAGCATATTTCCAGGTTCTTTCGGATCTTCTGTTAATTTTTGAGAGAAATAAAAATGTAAGCTATCTGGCACAACCGGACAAAAAATATTCTAGAAGAATACTCAGGAAAAAGAGTACAAGTTTGTTAAATAAAATAAATTTACTTCTACAACTGTACTAATCTCTCAATCCAAACTGGCACATTACCTTTTGGTCTGCCATAAGTGAGCAGCACTATCATAGCATGAACAACCAGGACATGTACAGTAGCTGACTGGCCAGATTCCCACTGAATTAAAATCTGATCCTGGGTATTTGACTAAAACAAAGAGACCAGCACATAACAAATTATTATCATAAAGTGTCATTGTAATTTGTAGTAATACAAAGTATATTCTGTTTTATAAAAACAAATAAAAGATTAATAAAATTTAAAGAATTGCAAGTGTTGAAATTCTTTAAATCTAATTAATTCTTTTATAATAACTGAAGTCATCATTTTTATCATATTGATAAATCAAACCCACCCAACTAAATGTATCTTTATCCTCCTTGCGAGCATTGCGCATATATACCAGATACAACTTAATAAAAGCATTTAGGGTTTCACACTGTTCTTCTGTTTTATCAGAGGGCTTGACAGCAAGATCAGGGAGAATGTAGTTGACAACAGCTGTCCTCTCCACTAAAAGTTGGGCAATGTCCTGCACAACAAAACAATAGGAAATGTATTTAATTTAAAGCACTCTTCAGCAAAAAAGTTGGGCAATGTGCTGTTTGAGAAAATAATAATTTAAATATCGTCATTTATTTAAGATAATGTATACTAAACATTGGGGAATGTCAAGTACCAGAAAACTTGACATTAGAGATCATCATTTGCTTCACTTACAGCACCTTTCCAATGCCCATAATTAAAGATAAAAACATAACTTACAAGCACCAGGTCATTCCAAGTCTGCTGTGGCTCAGTCAAAGCATGAGTGGACAGGAACAAGATGTAAGCATTTATTCTGTTTGGGTCAGTTTCAACTTGGCAGGCCTAAAATAAAAAATAACCTATTGGATAAAGCTGATATAGAATGGATGGGATGAAGCATGATCAAATATTTAGAAAAACAAGTAGTGCAAACAATTATTGGAAGTAAAAAATAATTAGCATGCAAAATGAGTAATTGATACGTTAAATGAAATTTGAAAACTGACACTTGGGATTTGATATTTGTATGGTACAGTTATTTCAATGTTTTCAAAACAGTCGTTGATTGTAAATAATATCAAGTATTGCAGAATAATAAAAAATGTCTAAATACTGGCTGCATGGATTATTCATTAAAAAAAAACCCAACTGATGAAATCTGACCTTTCTGAGTGCTAGGCACAGGGATTCCTTGACTTGATGAAACAGTGGCAGAGATGTCATCTGCACCAGAAGCCAATCATTGGAGTCATGTTTTAAGTCCAGGTCCATTGATTCATCTGGAGAAACTGCTTGGGGTGCAACAACAGCTGACAGGCCCTGCAAAACAAACAACTAAATTTTAAAACCTTCTAAAGTTTTATCATCTTTTTAAATTTGAAACTGCTGCTAAATTGAATTATTCAATATTTTCTTTTAACCAATTAGTAGGCCTATATGTTAATTAAAATTTGTAAAAAATTACAAACTATCAGAAGTGAAGCCAAATTTGTAAGAAACATTGGCTTATGTGATCTGTATTGACAGATACAACATGTATGTAATAATTGTACCTTGACTGCCTGTTGTCTTGTGGAGGCCTGTGTAGAAGACAATCTCTGCAGGAAGTAATCCAGCACCTCCTTCATTGTCTTAGACTCACTGGAAGAGCTGTGCACCAAATCTTGAAGTCTGTTTAGAAGCTGTTGGTGTTTCTTGTTTTTCTAAATTCAAATATTTAGTTTTTTTTTACTGCTTTGTCTTAAACACTATTTCACTTAAACTAATAAATATTTTATTTCTAAAAAAAGCTATTCAGACAACAGTTTGTATATTAAGTTTCTTTTACTGCCTGTATCTCTTTTAGGGTCTAGGTTATCATACTAGAAAAAAAATAGCTTTAATATAACTTATGGCCTTTAATCAAAAATATGTTTTACTTATTGGAGAAAAAAGTAAAATCTCTCGATAAATTTCAAATGTGTAGACCACATGTATAATGTATGAAGAATAGATGAATAATTTATTCTGCATTTAATTATACTTTGATTAAAGTTTTCCCAAACCAAACTAACCTGCTTCCTTTTTGTTCGGTCAGCTCCAAACACATCCATGACATCCATGTCTGTGGCCAAATCTGTTGGTTCATGCAACAAGAACTCACACAAACACTGGACAGGGAGAACATCCAATGACCCCTCACTGGACTCCACTAGCTCAGCTAACCACGGCATGGACTGTGATGTTCCCTGTATTTTATCCAAGCAGGTTTTATCAGTATTTCACATTAGCACACAGAAAGTTAAAAATTATTTATTACATTACTGCTATAGTAATATGTGAGCAATTATTTAATTTTGTTGTTTAACGCTGTTTAGGTAAGTGGTGCTCACCTGTCTATTTATAATCCTAAGCAGGAAGTCAGGGCTCCGGCTGCGACACAACATCTGGCCCAGCTTGAGGTTGTTGTTTAGAGACTTGAGCAGCTCCATTATGTCAGCTGGTGGGAACCGTGCTGGGCCACTGGAACATGAGTTAAATACAACTTAGAGTCTTGAGCACAAGTGTGCTAAAAGTTAAATTGGTTTGTTTTAGTTAAGAGATGAACAGTTTAAGAGTTTGGAAAAAAACATACTTTGGATCATTATGGATCAGCTGTCCAATGAGATGGCTGTTGGTTTCAGTGATGGTCACTTTAGTGGTAGCAGCTGCCAGGTGGGTTTCAAACTCTAGGATCAGCTGAATTTCTTGCTGCCGAATCTGGACATATGAGAAAAAAATAAGTTTACTGGTCAAGTGAATAATTAAAAAAAAAAGAAGAAAACACATTTTGTAAATAACTGTTTTTTTTTACCTGTCTTTCTCTGGCTCTAAATTCTTCCACAGCCTTTTCATCTGTTGCTGTAGTTGGTGGTGGAAATGTGAAGTTGCTGAAAACAGGAGAAAAGAAGTTTTTAATGTGACCATAGAAAATGAATATTTTAAATAAGTAATACACAGTCACAAGTATACACTGACTTCAATTTTACTGTGTACACCTTATTGATTTGTTAAATTAAATTGTTTACTTTTTGGATATACCTAATGACAATGTATTAAATAAAATAATCTCAACAACTAAATAAAATGAACAAGATTAAAATGCATTACAGAGATCTCAACAACTAGATAAAATGAACAAGATTAAAATGCATTACAGAGAGAAAAAAAAATATATTTTACTTTGTCATCACCATCTCCATCAGGGACTGTAACTGGGGATATTTCAACCAAGCAGTCTCACCTAAAAACACAATTTACCAACTTTTTACAAGGCAATTTTCTCTGGATTTAGCATGAAATCACTTAAAAGTAAGAGGTTCAGTACAGTTTTATTTTGAAATATCTGTTCTATTTTGTTAGATTTACTTGGTGAACATTAAGGGCAATAACTCAACAATTTTCTGCACATTAAAATCTTGCTGCCTTACCAAACACGGCTGGGTTGTATGCAGTAATGATCAGCAGAGTGAGCCAAGCTTTCCACATCAAGCCAGCTATGGCAAGGTTTGGTGGTGTATAGCTAAAGAATATTTAACAAATTTATTACTGCACAAGATAGCTTTTAGTTTAATTGTTATTGCTTTAATAGAAACTTTGTTTATTATTAGGATGGATGACTTGTATTAACCATTGTAAACTTTTGTTTTTAAAGAAAATAGGTAAATAGTAAAAATAATTTTATTGTATTATTTGATGGTAAACTAAAGGTAAACTATTGCAAGGAGTACCTTGATGGCAGCACTATATTCTCTGGATGCTTGTAAATACAAAGGTTAAGGAGGGCATCAATGAACTCGAGCCTTTCCATTTGTAACACATCAACTAGACCCACTGTAGAATCATAAATTATTTATACAGATTAACTTTTACAATCAGACCTCAATTCAATCAAGAAGCATTAAGTAAAAATTGAAAAAAAATTATTTGATTGTTGAAATGAAAAACAAAACTAAAAAACAGTGACAATTGATCTATATTTGAATATATAAAGTGTAGACTCACAATCATAATACAGTGCAGCTGCTCGACAAACAAGCTGATCAACCAACTCCACAGCATCATGAGCAGATAATGGCAGATCCCTTAACAGGCCTATAACAAGCAGCCTCATCAATGTGTCCTCCATGACAGGAGATTCAGACGCAAGTCTCAGCATCATCCTTTATTACAAATGACCGAAGTCCAGTTAGGCAATGACTAACAACGTCTAAATATTTAGTCTATATGTGCCTAAAAAGTAAAAGATTACCCTCTTTCTGTCTCAGGCGGCCAGTTGTCCTTGTTGTAATAATGTTCTGCTGATTCCAGGAACAGGACTTTCTTCAAGCTGGAAAATAAGGAAAGTCATGGCCAAGAGAGTCTAGAACAATAAATCATTTGAAAGAAAATGTACACTAAATGTGGTCTGGAATTTTAAATGTACCAATGAAGGTATGCCTCAGTTTTTAGCTCTGTTATCTTGGGAACTATAGTATGTAGCCACCAAACAGCATCTCTCTGTATTGTAGATACCTGTCTCTTGAACATGTGGATCAACTCAAGATCTGGAATTTAAAAAAACTAAACTTCATTTGTGAAACAAATACTGGAAAGTACATGTTCCATTTATAACAGTATGTTCCACACTAATTTTGAAACCAAAATGTGTATTAAGGCTGTCAAAAAGAGAGCTCAAACATATTGTTATATGTTTTAGAAATAAAGTAAGATATAAACAAACTTTTATGATCTCCTTGCATCAAGCTTGCAGCTGCCTCTCTAACATTAGGAGCCACACTCAGAAGTATGTCCATGGAGATTAAATCTGCTATTGAAAGAACATAGCGCTCCTGGAATCATAAAAATGAACATAGTCACCACTATCATTAGTATAAACCTCATGCTTTTGATTTGGCATACTTATTTAGTAACGTAAGAAATGTACATATAGGCTTAGTTTATTAATTGTCAGATTTCTGAATAAATATGAAAGACTTACATTATTTATTTTTAAAAAAAGCTTGAAATCCAGACTTCAAGTTTTCTAATAAGCAAGTGACAAAAAAACATCAACAGGACAGACTACTTACTTTCAGAGCAGTATCCATCTCCACAAACTTCTGCTCCAGCCTTTCTTGCATCAAGCCAAGACAAAATGTAGAAAAATTCATATCTAAACGTGTGCATCGGACTATTTCTCTGAGCAGCATACGCAGTGCTTTAAGATAATCATCCTTGTTGATGAGTAGATCCTGGAATATTTCTGCAAGTATCTGTCAAGAGAGCATATTATTTGAAGAATGTTTTTTTTGCAACAATGAAACAAAATATACAAGACATGCTTTAATATAAACATGAAATAAAAGGATTTTAAAATGTGTTACCTTAGCAGCCTGCTCAGAGGAGTGTGAAAAAATGACTGTCAAGAGTGGCATGTTGTTCGGATTCCTCGATGTTGATAACTCATTGTAGATAGTGTGATTCAGTATCATGCGAAGGTTCTCAGGGTGTTGAGATAACAGCTCCCTGTGAAAAATTTGAATTCAGAATATAGTCCCCCTTACATTTTGTTTTTATGTTAAAACTATTACATTTGATGTTTACCAGTGATAACTATCCTTAAATATATTCTACTTAAGATTATAATATTTTATTTACTAATTCACATGCTGTTTAATTACAGCTTTACCTTTTTCTTCTTGTTTGTTCTTAATTTTACTGTTGAAAAGGATTCCCTCCAACACAATTAAGTATATGTGTCAACTGGTTAAGCGCCATTTAGGCAGCTGGATTTGCTTACATAGCCTTTGCCCAACGAAGAACATACTACAAGGCTACAGTTGTTTGATTTTGGAGTTGTCTCTCCTAGATGGGTGGATGTCCCCAGCTATCTAGCCTTGTCTGCCCAGGGATTTAAACTCGGGACTTATTGGTTCAGCAACCATGAGCTTAACCAACCCGACCATGCCAACCTCCTATAGTTTTACCAATATTTAAAATAAAATTAAGAAGAAACAATATAAATAAATTTACCTCATGCAGTTCAGAAAATGGTTGATGAGTGGCTTTGTTTTCATCCGCATTTTGGTCAAATGGCCAATAACTTCGAGATCGTTAGGGTCATGTTTGTCACAGTTGGTGCATACAGCAAGTAAAAGATCCTGTGATACACGAGTCAGCTGAAAATAACAACAAGACAAGCGTTTACTTTTTAAAATTTTCTCTTGAAGGTGATTAGATTGGCAGTAATCCCAATTACTTTTACTTTAGAAAAGTTGATACCTTGGGGTTTTGTAGCCACATGTCGATGCGCTGCGCTGCCATGTTACGGACTTCTCCGTAACCACTGGTGGACGTCATTAGCCTAATCAGATTACGAGAAGAGGAATCCATGGGTTGGCGTCTGTTTAAAATGTCTTTGATGATATCAAGAATGTATATCTCAATCGCTGATTGTTGATATGGATACCTGAAAAATAATTTTATCATTATTATAACAATTTACAAATTAGTTGTTTAGAAGAAAGCTGATAGAATTCAACTAAAAATAAGTTGTAATTTATTTATTTTAAGAACTAGATTTAAACAGCATAAAACCAACATTTACCTGGGAATACAAACAGGTGAAGAGGCTGTACTTGAATTTGATTTATCCCCATCCCCAGCATCACTTAACTTTGAAGAGGAATCTTCCTCATCAAATAAATTCTGAGCAGGACTAACTGAAATTCAAAAATTATTCTTAAAAATTAAACTTTTCTAATTCAAACATTTCATCTATATATGAGTGTATTTAAACTATCATCTAGAAACAAGATTGTGTACAAGTTTACTTTCATCCAAAAAAAAACAATCAAATCTCTAAATAGATAACAGACCAAAAGTAAATTTTTATGTATAAAATAAATCATATTTTTACATAGCTTACTCTAATTATCAAAATAAAAATCAGCACAACACATTTATTGCTAAAATATATTGTAACACTGCCACACCTGAACCAGAGGCATCCCCCCTCATAGCTTCTGCTGTAGTCATTAACAAATGTTTTGCAGACTTTTTAGTGCCAAAAGCTGTGTGGATGTTGTCCACAAATGTTCGGCAATCATCTCTATCAACCCAAACTCGCTCACCAAGCGAATCTTCAACAAATACCTGAACAGAAAAAAAAATGCAGAGTTTTTTTTATATTTACAAATATGTATTATCATTATTTTTAATATGATGGCAAAATAATGCAACAAAACAATAAAACAAACCTTAACAAAATTGTCTGGCCAGTTTTCCTCATCAGCAAATGCATTCATTAAAACATTGCATGCAAGAACAGAAACTAATGGGTTTCCTTTTGCCTTGAATGTGAGAGCTAATTCCCTTTTGAGAAGCCCACAGAATGCCTGGGTTAAAAAGAAAATTCAAATATTTATAAAAGTTTTTAATACTAGAATTTGAAAAAGAAAATAGTGGGCTCTAGTGTTGTGATATTTTGAATATAGGAGTTTTTATAGTTATTATAGTGTGAAGTGATTAATACCTCAATGATTATCTCAGTGCAGAAAAGATTAGGTTTGCTTTTAGAAAGGTACATCAGTGTCAAATAAATAATAGGATCTGGTTTAGCCCTATCTCGACGAAGGTATTTAACCGCTCCACAAAGCAAACCTTCAGCCCTTTCATCATTTCTTTCATCTTCAGCAGATAAAATAGCTGACAGCAACTCAGTAGGTTCAACTATAACAAATAATTGTACACTTCTTAATACCATGTTTAAGAACAGACATCAATACATTAACTATTAAATAAATGCTTATGATATAAAAATAAACAAATAATAATACTGAAGAAACATGCACAAATTAAAAAAAAACAACCCAATAATACCCCGTTGAAACTGAAAAAATATAATTTAACAAATAAGCAAACTAAAAAACAACTAAACTTTTATAATTTGTTATAACAGAGAGGTGCACATAAGTTTCAATGATAACAATGGACACTTACCAGTAATGGCAATTTCATCAAACTGGGTTGAGGAACTAGAGGATGAAGATGCAGTGTCCCCATGGGGCCTACTTAGTGATCCAAATGCTGATGTACTAAGCTTTGGTTTCTTGGCTAAACTGGCTGAAGAGACTGTACTTCCGGGTGATTCCTTTTTGCGCCCCAGGTGCTGGGGACTAGTTGGTCTCTTGACTTCCCCTTCATTTGGCTTTGATTGCTTCCCTAAAGCAATGAAGTCTCCTGGTGCAGCAGTTGGGCCTAAGTTAAAAAAGTTTTTAATCAATTAACATTTCTCATTATGATAAACAAAACCTCTTTATTTCTTGCCATTATATTGCCATTTATTTACAGTTAAGAAATTAAATAAAAAATTATTGAATAAAAACTGTGCAAGTTTATTTTTAAAATATAAATTTATTACCTCGTTTTTTCCTGCCAAGTATTGACTTTTGCCTTTCCATTTGACAAAGTTTCTATTATAAAGTACTGGCCATGAGCAGTTCCAGAAATTAAGTATTAGAAACTTGAAATACAAAAAAATTCAGCAATCATAATTGTGATATAACATGCCATTTCTTAGCATCAAAACAATTTAAAAAATGGATAAAAAAAAATTGCTACAAAAACAAATAAAAAATTAACTAAATGTGTGTTAACACTACTAATGGTATATTAAATTAGGCCAACTAGGACTACTACTGGAAGTTAATGTTAATAAAAAAAAGCACACCAAAACTAGTATCTAGGCTAGTAATTCTAGAACTTCTTCTTTGTTCTTAATTTTAATATTGAAGGGGATATCCCACAGCACAATTAAGTATTAAGTGTCAACATATTATTATGCACCATATCGCTCACTGACTTAGATTTCATAGATTACATAGGCAGTATCATTTGTCTCCAAAAGAACAAACAAAGACTGCAATTGTTTGTTCTTAGCTTAGGTTAGGTTTGCCTGTTGCCCCTCCTAAGGTTTATTTATAATGTATTTTTCTTCTTATTAGCTGCAGTTATTATCCATGTCTCAGATCCATAGAGTAAAACAGATTTTACTAGTGTGTTGAAGAACCAGATTTTCATTCCAGAACGCCAAACATTTTTTAGTTGGTTGAAGACTTTGTTTGTTCTTCTTCAATTGCAATTGTAATGTTGGAAGGGATTTCCTCCAACACTATTAAGTATCACTTAACAACTTGTAATGCCCCATAAAGGTTATCGACTCTGATTTCAGCATGCTTTTCTTCTTTCTGGATAGACTGCAAATAGCCTTTGTCCGACCACGAAAAAACTACATGGCAACAATTTTTTAATTTTGGTGTTTTCTCTCATAGATGGGCTGATGTCCCCCTGCTAAGGAGCTTAAGTTCATCTGTCCAGTTTTGGAGTTAGCAGTTACGTTCTCTTCAGTCCAACCACACAGTTCGCTGATCTGGATCTTATTACAAAACTTTATAATTTTAAGTTTTTATTTTAATATTTTTATTTTAACTTTAAAAACATTCTGGGAGAATATTTAAACCGGTGTCCCATAATGGAATCTTCTTTAAAAAAGGGGTGTTAGGTTACTGGTAGTTAACAAAATACACAAATGGCTGGCTAATCATGTCAGTCAATGCTAACCCGAGTATTGAGTAACCCTAACCCTGCTCTGAGACCCTTTTTAATTTTAAGTATTATTGAGCTGACTATCAATATGCCACTTCACTAACCAAAACTTAAAAGCTTAAAATTCTCAATGGCTCTGCCTGACTGCCTTGGCTAACTCAACTGTATGTAGAAGTGTGTAGATCTAGATCTAGTAGTATGTAATGTATTTAAATGTATTGTAAGTGTTTACTGTTTATTATTGTAGTAAGTCTGTAAATAAAAGTATTAGTATCATTAGTAGTATAGTAACTGGCACCAACTGATTCAGTACTGAATCAGCGAATGACCTAGATTCTAGTTAGTAGATTAAGATCTAGTACAATTAATCCAATTATTTTTAATCAAGTAGATTTCTAGACTATCTATTAATTAATGCATTCGATGACCGTTTCGATCACTTAACTTACCCAAGCACTATTTTTAGTACTTAAGTAATAAGTACTAGACGACTAAAGAGTCTAGTGTGCAGAAGACGTCTTGACTCTCTAGCTAGCAGCTAGAATCTAGACCTAGAGATCTAGAATCTAGATAGATTCTGGATCCAGATTTAGATGTAGAGATCTAGATCTATACTGCTAGGACTAGACTATAGTCTTTGTAACTAGAGTAAAGTGGCGTCTGCGGACAGTTGCCTCTGTCCGGCTCTGTGCGGACACCTTGCTGTTTTTCGCTTAAACAATAATTGTATGAATGTTTTATAGGAAACTAACGCAAACAACACAAAGCATGTCCATTTTTAAACACATCTGAGTCCATTTCTTCTATTTCACTCAATAGGGAGATTAATTGGAATTTTTCAAAGTTGCGATGTATGACGTTTTATGGTAGGAAACCTCACCCGGATGAAGAGCACTAGTCCCCGGATTAGAGGAATAAATCGAACCAATCATAGCTTAGTTAACTGGGTTAACTATAAATAGCTTATATATATATATAGAAAGCTATAAATATCATAGTTAAGGTTGTTTAAGCCATCTTAGAGGAAAAATTGGGGTGTCCGCATCTTTTTTGAGGGTTAACCTTTTGCGGACACTAATGAAAAATCAGAGTATATTTCTTACACTTTAAGTAAAAAGGAGCTTTGAACTAATCTTGATACTCCAGATTTATATTTAAATTTAAGTCTAAATCTAGATCTATAAGTTTTTAGTAATGTTTTTAGGTTTTAAAAATATTTTTGATCATCAAACGTGTCTACTAAGCAAAAAGTGAAATAAAATCTCAACTGGGTCCTGAGTTTCTTTCAGGCATCACTTTAATTTAATTAAAACTTATTTCATATTTCTTCATATTTTTTGTTTTCCAATATATTAATATATAAAACAATCAACAACACTATTTATGTATGTAACATGTTTATTTCAATCATTTAAATAGAAATAAAATGAACAAAATATGCCTTGTCCGCATAAGGAGCAAGTGTGCGCACAGAAAATAAAATGTAAAAAAAAGTGCACTTACTGTCCGCACAGAGTCTCACCACTGAAAATGTTAATACATTCAATGCTATGCGTATGAATACAAAATGAATCAGACGTGATTAAACTAGAAAGAATGCGGAGTGAGACGGTACTTTCGGTTTGTTTCTATGTGAAGCGGTTACTGAATGGCGCTCAATGGAAATCGGCACTTCCGTTTTTTTTGCTACGTCTGTCCGCAGACGCCACTTTACTCTAGATCTAGATCTATAACAACCGTATCAAAATTGATGCCATTTCTTTTTTAGTCATATTTTAGGCTTTTCATATTTAATAGTGAAATAGGTGGATCTTGACTTTTTTTTCAAAGTAACTTTTAAAAAGATATTCGTAGTTTGTAGTCCCTAAATATATCGATTCTCTAGTCTAGATCTTCGTTGCCACAGTTATTGTATATTTGGCCAACTGAAATTTTCTTTTTGAATTGTACACTTAGATCTAAATACACATCCTGGCAACTGGATTTCCATGCTTGCCCTACATCCGTTTTGTCCTTGATGCAATTTGTAATAGCAACTTAAAATACATTTGATATTTTCTAAGTTAACAGTATCATTGGGGATTAAAAATGGGTGACAAAAATTATAATCCATATTCTTCATCGGATCCATCGATGAATGTTCCAGGTAATCACATAACATGAGTATAGTATAAGTTCTAACTCAGCCTTACTGCCTTACTCAACTTCTTTTAAAATCTTTATCTGTCTTAACTTCAGAAAAGTAGGCTAATGAAAAGTTGCGTAGTTTTACTTTTACTTGAGAATAGAATTTAGATTCTTACTTAATTATTTAATATTTAGATATCTAGATCTAGTAAGGGTAATCTATCGTTTTGGTACGTAAAATCGCCCGCGACTAGTAATGTGAAAAACAGGTGACTCGTTAAATTTTAATTATAGGCCCAAAAAAAAAAAAGGCCTAAGATAGATCTAGTAAGATTTTAATGATTTATCATTTTGAAAAATACAAAAATGTTTCCCTGTTTCATTTATGTAGAATTCTAGATCTAGATCTCTACCTGTTTTTAAACAATTGAATTAAAACTTTTCAGTAATAAAAGGAAAACTAGCGATGTTTCCAACATTGCTCATTTACTATAGCAGCAATTTTGTTGAAGTTTTTTTTTTATAAACTTATACTTATAGCGCAAGATTCAGGGGAAGCCACTCTAACTTACAGATGGTCGCTTTTTATATAGCAAATCCTGCTCACAAACACTGCTGTTTAAAGTTAATTTCTTGCCTATATTGATATATTTAGCCATTTATTTAGGTTTATTATTCATTTAGGCCTAGGCCCTATCTATAATATTTGACACAAATATATCACAATATACTTCTATTAGGCCCCTGGCCTAAAGCCTTGACAATGAGGTAACTTTTTTGTACATTACTAGCCGCGGGTGATTTTACGTACCTATAACGATAGATTACCTAAGTAAGAATCTAATAGTTAATACTTAACAGTTAACTGTTCTAACTTCACTACTGGGACCCAGTACTGTGAGTACTAACTTAGTTTTACTTATCTAGTTCTAGAATAATCTAGTCTAGATTATGATATCCAGATCTATGAGATCTAAACTCTAGTAGCAGTAGGCCTACTAACTACTTAAGTACTAGTTCTAGAGGTAGAATCTAGACCCAGAATCTAAGACTAGACTTGTGACTAGACGCCTTGAAAGTGCTCAGTACTAAACTAGACAAGATTTAGATTGACTAGATCTCACACTTGTAACATTTACTATTATTTGCTAACTAATCTAACAAACACTGCTATTTAAAAGTTGATTGTTGGCCTATTTATAATAATGATATATTTAGACATTGCATTTGGTTTAATTATTATCTATTAGGCCTATAATCTATACCATAGTCTATACATATATATCACAATATAGGCCTACTTGCATTAATCATTAAAGTCATATTAATGAGTCACCTTTCTTTCACACTACTAGCGTTCCACGATTTTACGTACCTAAAATGATAGATTAGATTACCATTCTTAGATATTTATAGGCCTAGGTCAGTTTGTTTATTTTAATCGATTCTGATCTAAATCTTCTCACTAACAAATAAGGGCCAAATTAAAAAAAAACACCAGGCCTATATTTGTGTACTAATTGTTTTTAGCAGAATTATCTATCACAATCATTATCTTATTTCTAGGCCTATGATCTAAATCAGTGTTTACTACTGTTTACAGAATCATACCAACTGAAATACAAATATTCAAACTCCAGCCACCATGGGTGGTATCCCCCAGGCTTTATAAAAGACTAATGCCACCTCTGGTTGCTAGCCTAGCAAATGAGTATCATGCTATGCATGTTTATACTAACTTTACTGTAACTGTTTATTCTTCAGTTACTACCGGACCAGCTGGAGCTATTATGTCACCATACCTGAACTTTAATCCAGCATACATTGGTCCTGTAAGTATATACTGTACTTGTAGAGCAGATAAAGCTGGACCTACTGTACAGTAGCATACTCTTATAAATAGGCTACTAGGTCTGTTGTTTTAATTGTTCTAAAGATCCTTTAGTCTGTCATTTTGAAACTTTAAAAAAATTATTTGTAAATTTATTTTTATTATATATTATTTTATCTATAGAATGCAGATTCACAGTTTATCTTCCCAGAAGGAGCAGCAAGGACGAGGGGCCGTCTAGAATTGTCGTTTTCACAAATTGGTGGATCTGTTTTTGTAGGTTAGAAAATATTATTTACGTTTTACCGTAACATTTAGTTGAATTATAACGGACTAGATAGTTAAATTTTGAATGCAACCTCAAATTCCTTCAATAATTGGTGTTATATTGCTTTGCTAGGAGCTGCAGTTGGTGGTGTAAACGGATTATATTCAGGTATTAAAGATGTCCAAGCTCGACAGTTGACAGGAGCAAACAGAAGAACACAGTAAATATTTTTTTCTTTTTATAAACTTTAATAAAGTAAATCCTTCTTGACTCTCACAAGTTGATACATTCTTGTGTATTTCAGGTTGTTAAATTTTGTAACAAAAGGGGGAGCATCTACAGCACAAACTTTAGGAGTTGTTGGTAAGGTTTATTCAGTTATCTGCCTTAGAACTTAACTTATCATTGCTTGTTAATCATTCAGTTAGCATTGTCTTGATATTTTTCAGCTCTGATGTACAGTGTTTTTGGTGTTATCCTGTCTTGGGGTCGAGGTGTTGATGATGAATTAAATACAGTCACTGCTGCTACTGCAACTGGTTTATTATATAAAAGTTCAGGTATTGTGAACTAACTTGTTAAATTATTAATTTTCTCCCTTTGTGCTAATTCAAAATTCTTGTCATATAAGACAATAATTATGTGTTGTGTTCTAGAACTATTACTACAAAATTCAGAATTAACATGGTGTTGAAGTAGTCTTCTGAATTCTGTTTGGTTTGTTGTTGAAAAGGAGTGCAACTATTCACTTAGATATGTTTGTATTAACTTAAAAATCTTTAAATATTCTTAACTCAACCATGTTGGTTTATGCTGTGAACTTCAACTTTTTGGTCATATGGTGACTTAAATAATATGTGGTATTATCATTAACTAGCCTGCATGCACTGTTGAATATTGTTACAATTAAATCATAATTTCACAGGTGAATATTGTAGTTTTTTAAACTTTTAAAACTGTTTGAAATTATTTTTTTTCCTGTAGCTGGCTGGAAGAGGTCCTTACGAGGAGGAGGTATTGGCCTGGGCTTATCTGCTGTTTATGTTCTGTTCACAAGTCGAGACAGGATCAGAGGCTTAATGGGAAAATAACTTATCATCTATTCACATTTATTCTGCATTTTTTATCAATATGTGATGGGTAAATTAAGACCAATTTAAGATAAGGAATGTGTAAATAATTTCCATAGGATTAAACATTTTTACATCTAATGGTATTTTCTCCAGAACATCACATTTTAATTGTGTACATTTAGTGAAATATCACACCTGTAAAGCATATGAAATGTATTTGTTTGTGTGAATTGGAGGTCTGAATCTGTTCATAAGACGGAATATAATTTAGCTCTCTGATAAGTACTTCAAGGAACTGGGTTTTAAGAACACAATTCTAAGTACCCCATGTAAACATTTGTGTGATTTTTCACTTCACTAAAAGTCTGGTTCATCACAAGACAAATATACAGGCCAACAAATTTGGGCAAATTTTCATATTTTTCTTCTCTTACAGAGAATGTGATTGAAAGTAACTACGTTGATATGTGTGTATGTAAGTTGAATTGGTGTAACTGGTGAGTTTGAACTGGTTAAACCTGTTTTATTTAAATTTTGATTAAATGATTTATAACAAACAAACTCTAGGAGTGTATTATTGTTGAAATGTTTTTTTTTTGTGACTTTTATTTAAACAATTGTAATATTTAACACCAAATATTTAAAAAAAATACCATTAAAAGAATATTGCAAAACACAAATAGAAAATACCTGTCAAATCACTCTTACACTTAATTCATACATTAAAACTGTTGGTCCTTAGGCTCACCATCTGATCAAATATGATTAGATGAAAATATATTGATAATGCCTTGATTCAAGCATCTTTACATTTCTGTTAGTGTCATGGTTGCATTGAGATATCAGGCACATGCAAGTATTACAATTAACTTGTTTGAAAAAAAAACTTAACTGATGATCACCATGGCAACCTGTCAAACAACACCTGGTATTGTTCAAAAATGAAAAAGGTTTTGTAGTAAGGGATACAGTTTGTCTATAAGTACTAAATTAGAAGCTGCATGGTTTGTTTAGCTTGGGCTCTGCTGGGGAGGGTGGTCTGTCCATTCTTACACTTACAGCTATATCGATCAACTGTAAATTCTTACACTTACAGCTATATATATATATCGGATCAACTGTAAATAGTTTTAAGAACTGGCGTATTTTTTTGATAATGTATTTAGTGTTACTTTTAAACAGATTCGACAACTCTCAGAAACTGCGAGAACCCAGTTTAAATACTGGGTTATAAACCTTTAATTGACAAAGTTTTTAAAAATTAACATTCAATACATAGCCTAATGGAGAAAATCTTTCGAACCTTTTTAATTATTGAAAACAAAATTATTGCAGTGTTCGCCAAGAAGAACTTTTTGTCGGTAATTTTACCGTGTTCATTTTTTTGTGTCAAAACTTGGTCTTTGTAACACATTCAAACTTCAATTTATCAGGCACCCTGAACTTCAAGTATCGTATCCTTTTAGTATTGTAAAAGGCAAAAATATGCTCGGGAAAAGAAACGGTAAAAAACGCTTTTTTTTTGTTTCAACTTTTTGTGCAGCAAACAGCCGATAGTTTTATAATGCACATCGTCAACAATAGCCGGTGAAGCTTTAGCGGATGTCCTGTTTCTTAGGCCGGAAGTAAACATATCTCGTCAGCATAGACACTATGCAAGGCATCTGTTTCATGGACTCGATGAACTCCTTGTCGCTGCAGGACGCGAACTCGTAGGCCACGATCCTGTTGACGTGTGTCAGCATGTGCATGAGCTCCATCTTGGTGCCGTAGTTCTCCAGGACGATGCACAGCGCTTGGATGAACCACGAGCCGTCCTGGTTGTTCCTCCACGAGTAGTAGCCTGGGGAGGAAAGGCTGGCGTCAGCATAGAAGGTGCTTGGAGATTAGCCGTACCCTAACATTCGTATCGCACGTTGGTGTATCGAACTGTTTCAAACACGCTCTTTACCAAAGTATCGAATACGGCGATAGAAGGGTATGGCTAACTAATGAAGAAAGAAAAAGATACGAGTTTTAAGAAAAATACAACCAGGGCGACAAAAAAAAAAGTAAGCTTACTCTTTTGAACCTGCCAGTTTCATGTATTAGATGAAGTAGAGTTAATCTGTTTCAGTGATCTCGGCCAATGAAGGGACAGTGTGGTCGGCTCAATGCTCAATCGCCTTTACTTTCCCAAAAAATCGGTCAGGTACTCATCAGAGCTAGGTGGACTATGAAACGTACTGCGGACGAGTCCGGGATCCGAACTCGAGACATTTAGGTTAGCAGTTGTGTACTAAATCACCCAACCACACCGTTCCACCCACCAGGTTAATACATAATCGTATATATTTTTCTCTGTAACGGCCAGGGTTTGTATTATGTATTATGATTAGGCTTTGTAATATATTCACAATTAATGTCAGAATCAGACCAATGGTAGGGTAGGAACTGGGTAAAATATACTAATAAAAACAGACGCGCATGTGTTTTGCCGACATTTGTATAAGTATCCATTTCAAGTAATAAACCTTATTTTAGATATTACAATACATCTTTCGAACTGTGTTCTTTCCAGACATTTTTCTCCAAGGGGGGGGGGGGGGGCACTTGATATTTTCGGGGAAGAAGGGGGGTGGGGGCGGTCTACATTAGTAAGAAGTCTACACTAGTACACTAGCAAAAAGTATGTTTACTATATAAATTCCATCTTGTTCGGTGGGGGGGGGGGGGGGGGGGGGAAGAGATGCCTGGAAGAAACTCTGCTTTTGAAGAATACAGTATGACGTAGAAATTATAAACAAGCCAAACAACGAAAGAAGATTCTAGAATGCAGGAGTCAAACCTGGAACCGTGGAGTAACAGAAGAGGCAGTCTGCTTCTATGGGAATCTTGCGCATGTGCACAGAGACGGAACTGTCGGAGGAGTCCTCGTCTCCCGTCAGGCTCGGCGAGACCGGTGATCGTCTGCTGGAGGAGGGGGAGGCGGGGGACGGTGACCTGGTGGTCCGGCCCCTAGACGGGGTGTCCAGGTACATGGTCTGTCTTCTGGTGTGACAAGCCTGGGGGGAGGTAAAACAACAGCAGAATTTTAAATGTGGGATGTTTTTATTTAGACAAGTATGTTAGGCTTGTAGGAAATTAAAGCAACACAAACATAATATAATTTATTTTGCTAAAACAATATATATATATAAAGAGGGAGACGTGGAGGCGCACAGCAGAAATACAACGGACGGTATATCTTGGTAAAATGCCAAGAAGCTTGCCAGAGAGCTTTCTGTGGCGACCTAATGTGTCCTGGGCACAATAGAGAAAATATGATGATGATGGCGGGGCTCTGAGATATTCTACCACTTTTAAAAATATTTGTTCCTCATGTGACGATTGGAATGTCATAACAACTCAGTCCATTTTAGGGCACAGTATCATCATTATTGGGGTCATTCGTATTCTACGTCTCAATCGTAACGGGGGGGGGGGGGTAGATTGAATACTATACTTAATGATTACCGAGCTAAGAAAAGAATAGATGTTAAAAAGAAACAGCAACAAAAACTTAAATTTTGAGGGAGAGTTGTAGGCTGAGGTGTGACGTCATTTCAGAAGGGGGGAGGGGGTGTCTTACTGTGACAATGGGGGAAAAAAGAGGAAGGGGGTGTTGATAACAATCGTCATAAAGCTTGACATCGCTCCCGTTACATGTGATCACCATGGAGTCACGAGTAGAATGTCTGCGATTGGCGAGGTGAGTTTTTATTGACTCTAATCATAATATTTGACAGCAAAATTAGCCAGCCTGCCAATGGTATACAGGAATTAAGACTACTTGTTCGTTTAGAGCAACCTGCACTCTACCGGTTAGATCTCACCAATATTAGATCACCCCACCGCCTATGGTAACTCACCTGGATAAAAAAGAGCTTAGGTTTTCCTATGAGAGACGGGCACCGGTCTCCCTTGAAAGGCAACACAAGAAGGTCAAGCGAGATCTGCCCATCCCTGGCATACACCATGCCCTCCCTGCCGTGAGACAATACAGCACATCCAAAACAGTCGTGGTCAGTGTGGTCAACAGAGGCAGCTAGAGATATAACAGTAGTGGTCAACAGAGGCAGCTAGAGATATAACAGTAGTGGTCAATAGAGGCAGCTAGAGATATAACAGTAGTGGTCAACAGGGGCAGCTAGAGATATAACAGTAGTGGTCAATAGGGGAAGCTAGAGATATAACAGTAGTGGTCAACAGGGGCAGCTAGAGATATAACAGTAGTGGTCAACAGAGGCAGCTAGAGATATAACAGTAGTGGTCAACAGAGGCAGCTAGAGATATAACAGTAGTGGTCAACAGAGGCAGCTAGAGATATAACAGTAGTGGTCAATAGAGGCAGCTAGAGATATAACAGTAGTGGTCAACAGAGGCAGCTAGAGATATAACAGTAGTGGTCAACAGAGGCAGCTAGAGATATAACAGTAGTGGTCAACAGGGGCAGCTAGAGATATAACAGTAGTGGTCAACAGGGGCAGCTAGAGATATAACAGTAGTGGTCAACAGGGGCAGCTAGAGATATAACAGTAGTGGTCAACAGAGGCAGCTAGAGATATAACAGTAGTGGTCAACAGAGGCAGCTAGAGATATAACAGTAGTGGTCAATAGAGGCAGCTAGAGATATAACAGTAGTGGTCAACAGAGGCAGCTAGAGATATAACAGTAGTGGTCAACAGGGGCAGCTAGAGATATAACAGTAGTGGTCAACAGAGGCAGCTAGAGATATAACAGTAGTGGTCAACAGAAGAAGCTAGAAATATGACAGGAATGGTTAATAGAGACAGCTAGAAATATAACAGGAATGGTTAATAGAGACAGTTAGAAATATAATTATTTTCTATAATTTTAAAATATACACCGTTTCAAATTTTTAATTAATAGAAAGGCCAGCTAAAACTAAAACAAAAAATGTCAAACATATTCCAACTGACAAAATCTCTAACTCTATCCCATGCCCAGTGTACCGTCTCCCCCCCCCCCCCCCCCCAGTACGTGACATAATCTATGCAAGCCGCCATTTGTGTTTTTTAAGTTGAGATTAATTTGGCGAACGCGATGGCCACATGTGATTAAAACCAAGTTTTTCTTGGAAAACAAAAATATTTTAATACAATGTTTTTTTTTAAATTAAAATATTTGATTACGTTTTAAAATTTAAATATTTAATATTTTTTTCTATCCCTCATTGCTTTTTTCAGCGATAAAAATCGTATATAATTTTAAAATTTATTTTTTAACCTTACGTTTCGTGAAATTCATGAATGCGAAACAATTATATTGCATCTGAGATTTGAGAATTTTAAAATGTTTAATAAAAATTGTTTTGAAAATATAAATTTGATTTCTAGGCCTGATTCACACTTAAAAAGGTTAATATCCTGGAATTTCCATTTGATCGACTGAAGAGCAAAACATAATTTTAAATATTTTATATTTATGTGAGCGGGTGAATGGTTTATTTCTTTTTTACTTTCTCGTATATACGAAGTATAGAGAAAGTATTGTAATCGTGCACAAAAATAACATGAAATTTGACAGTTTTCACCGTTTTACTCCTCAGTCCTTCATCACATCCCGAGTATAGAGGACTTATTTTAATCGGGCAAAAATTATCAATCCAGATTTATCACAATTAAGAGGTTTTATGTGTAATCCATTCTGAAAAACTGGGCTTTGCAATTCTGTCCGTATTCTGTGTGTCTGTCTGTCCGTGTGTAAACACGATAACTTGAGTACCGTTACAGCTAGGTTGGTGAAATTTTGTATATAAGTATTTTATCAAATCGTAGATCCGTATCAACTTTTGAGCGATTTCCGATAAACGGAAGTGGTATTTTTTCTACTTTGAATTTTTCAAAAGCCTATAACTTGAGTACTATTTCAGATAGATAAATGAAATTTCACATATAAGTCAAAGATCTAATTCTCTACCTTCTGTTAAATTTTGAGTAATTTCCGTTGACCCGGAAGTAGTAATTTACGCTACTTCCGATTTCTCAAAAAACTAATGTAAATTTTTAAAGTACTAACAATATTGCGCACTATTATGCACTTTTTATTTGGCGTTCACTTGGTGTGCACTTCTTTTGTCTACGAGATTTATTCTATTTTTAAAACTTTAAATATTTAAAATTGATAAAAAAATCATGTCTATAGCCCGAGTTCCCATCCCCTGTTGTTTTATATAAGAATATTCGAGAAAGTTTAGGGGAGATCACTCCCGGTTTATTTAATAACTGACCATAGTATAGAACAATTCTATGATTTGAACATACCATCGTATAGAAGTGGACGTCATTTTAGCACACGTGACGTCATCGTATCTACGTACTTCAAATCCCTAAATCCTGAAATCGCTCTTCCAATCTTTCGGCATCTACGTCACTTCCTTCTCTGTAAACATTGGAATTATATTAATTCGATTACACATAATTTATTAGTATTAAAAAATCATACTTAAATTATATTTTTAAAGAGGAGCCATCTGTAGTTGTCATACAATAAATCAGCAATAGTTTGATTTTCGGAGTTCTCTCCCTGCCCTTGATGGATTGTTGGTTGTCCGCTACTAAATAGCTCTCCTCATGACCTCGCCGTCCCCATATTCCGAACTGGGTAACGTCCGTTTAGAGTTGAGTACAGAGCATGCCACACTTCAATACCACAAGGGGCGCCTATGTACATCAGTTGAGTTGAAAAACAGTACGGATAAAACGCCTTCTCTCTAGATCTAGCGAGAGACAAACGAGAGAACTTGTCTTCAAGACAAAGTTTGATTTCAGTTTATTTTTGTTTGAAACACGAGACCCACACTTTGAGGCAAGAGGAAGTGACGTAATGACCAATCAATGGCGAGGTCACGGCATACTACAAATTTTGGCCAGCAGACGACACATTAAAAGCCTTGCGGCCATTTTCTTACCCTAGATTTCATTTCCCCCCCCCCCCCATCTCACAATGAATTATGGTTATTTTGGTTACATCCAAATCAATGTTAACACCCCAAATCGAGGTTAGTGGATCTAAATCAAGGTCAGCAGATCCAAATCAAGGTCAGCAGGCCCAAATCAAGGTCATCAGACGAAAATTGAGGCCAAAGCCAGGGAAACGTGAACATTACATCTCGACTTATATGCAGCTGTCGAGGTTTGAAAATTACCATTCAATGTGTACGCATGCTCAATACAGATGCGCGCGCAGACAGGATATTCAGCTGCGGATGTTACGTTACGATGAATGGATACATATAGATTATAGATAGCGACTTCGATGTTTATTCATGTTGCAAAGATCTCTTGATATTTTGAAATTAATCTAAATGATATTCCCGTAGCGTTTTTCTGTAAACAGAACACTGTATTTATATTAGCTGGAAAACATATTAAACGGTTGAATAAATGTATGTGTAGCAAAAATGATACAAGTGAAATTGAATGTAGAAAGTATTCTTTCATGCTTTATCAGTGTTGATGAACCGAAGAAAATAATAATATTTTATTGTTTTATTCTCATATAACTTTTCAAATAAAGGGGAGACGGGGCACACACACCTATCGTCTCGAGCAGTGTTTCTTCCAGACTTTTTTCTCCGGCGGGGGGGGGGGGGGGGGGGCACGTTGAAATTTTCGGGGGGGGGGGACTAAACTTTACGGGGAGGGGGGACACACACTGTTAAAAGTATATATTTTCTATATAAGTTCCATTTCGTTGGGGGGGGGGGGGCGGTAGACTTTCTTCGGGGGGGGGGGGGGGGCGAAGAGATGCCTGGAAGAAACTCTGGTCCCGTGACAAAATAGAACAATATATGCTTTATGTAGAAAACAAATTTAAGCGTTTCATCCTCAGCGAATTTAAGTGCACTCCCAGCCTCGAAAGTTTCAATCCCCCCCCCCCCGAGAAACAAACGCATATGAGAACAGGTCGTATCCCAAGCAGCCACTTACAGTAGCAAGCGTCAAGCTGAGCTAGAGAGTGTAGTCCTATAAATTAAACAAGCGTGGAGAAACATATTGAACTTTGATACTTTTTCACCCACTAGATCGCAACGACACCCCTCAGACCGTACCACCCCCACCCCAAACCGGATCACGCCCCCCCCCCCACATCAGACCTCACCACACCCATATCATGCTATATCCCCCCCCAATCGCCCACCCCGTGTACCCCATACAATCCCCATACTTAAACGGATCGGACAAAAAAAATGACCAAGTAAGTGACCTCTGACCCAGACCAAGCCCACATGACCTCTCGCTTGACACACCGCCATGATCTATGCCAATACAATGGAAATGAGAGGAACATCTGCACGAATAAGTAGTCGTGTTTCTTTCAGACATTTTTCTCTTGGGGGTGGGGGCGGGGGTGGGGGGTACGCTTCTGCGAGGAAGACTGTGATTACAAAATATATTTTCTATGTTATTTTTTTTTCTATTTCGACCAAGGGGGAGGGGCGGTAAGTATAGTTCTGGAAGGAGTGGGGCTTTGTGTATCTCCGGGGAGCTGCCTGAAATAACTCCGATGAGTATATAGGACCCACATTTCTAGCACCCCATCACATTCCATTGGCGTAGGACCCACATTTCTAGCACCCCATGACATCCCACTAGTGTAGGACCCACATTTCTAGCACCCCATCACGTCCCACTAGCGTAGGACCCACATTTCTAGCACACCATAAAATCCCATTGGCGTAGGACCCACATTTCTAGCACCCTATAAAATCCCATTGCGTAGGACCCACATTTCTAGCACCACCATCACATTTCCATTGGCGTAGGACCCACATTTCTAGCACTCCATGACATCCCATTGGCGAAGGACCCACATTTCTAGCACCCCATGACATCCCATTGGCGTAGGACCCACATTTCTAGCACCCCATGACATCCCATTGGCGTAGGACCCACATTTCTAGCACCCCATGACATCCCATTGGCGTAGGACCCACATTTCTAGCACCCCATGACATCCCATTGGCGTAGGACCCACATTTCTAGCACCCCATGACATCCCATTGGCGTAGGGACCCACATTTCTAGCACCCCATGACATCCCATTGCGTAGACCCACATTTCTAGCACCCCATGACATCCCATTGGCGTAGGACCCACATTTCTAGCACCCCATGACATCCAATTGGCGTAGGATAAGACCAGACCAACGATTTAAGCCCTTTTAAGGATTTTCTCAAAGCGTATGGGGGGGGGGGGGGAGAGGAGGGTTTTAAAATGGCTTCAGTTTATCACTTATGACAGAAGAATTTAGATTACTTGGGTGTTGATGAAGGACTAAATCTTAGTTCCTTGTTAGCTACAATAAACTATTTTCAGCGTAGTTTAGACTAGTTTAGTTGTAATTTTTCTAAATATCCGACTGGTGGTTCAAGTTTTTACATTTATCAAATTGATAGTTCCAAAATAATCTACATACATTCATTGGAAATTATTCACGACTGAAATACTTTAATTAGTTAAACGTTCGGCAAACCCGCAATCTTTAGCATTGTTTGTACTAAATTGGATCTTTTAAGTGACTTTATCTTTTCACAACATCGAGGTATGAGCGGACATTTAATCCAGGATTAAGTTACTAATGTGCTGTTAATCCAGGATTAAACAGCATACAGAGATTAAGTTGGCCCCAGAAGGTGTTTAGTGACATAGCCTAGTGTCAGTGATATGGCATTGTGCCAGTACTCACCTGTTCTGCTGTCCGTCTCCTCCTCAAAATGTCTGTTGTTGATGAGCAGAAACAGCCCGCGTTTTTTGAAGTTGAAGTTGTACTCGTTGGGCTCTGATGGCGCACCTGGTCTCACGTCTCGCCTCTCTCCGCTGGGGACCAAACAAAATCATACGTTTAAATAGTTTTTATACACAACAAAACTATACGTTTCAGGTGGTTTTATACACAACAAAACTATCCGTTTAAATAGTTTTATACACAGCAAAACTATACAGATCAAAACTATATGTTTCAAGTGGTTGTATACACAAACAAACTATACAGATCAAAACTATACGTTTCAAGTGGTTTTATACAAAACTATACGTTTCAAGTGGTTTTATACACAACAAAACTATACGTTTTCAAATGATTTTATACAAAACAAAACAATAGGACTACATTTAAATATTTGTATACAAAAATAAAACTCACCGTTTCAATAGTTTTTTATGAAAAAGAAAACTATATGTTTAAAAATAGTGTTATATTTCTAACATTAATTAGTCATTTAATGCATATTTAAGCTTTTTGTTTAGCAGAAAAAAAACTCAAGCGTGTAAAAATGAAACCTCTAGCGTACAAGAATGGCCAGGGAAGAGAACACTAAACTGCAACCAAACTGGCAACCAAACTGGCAACCAAACTGGCCACCAAACTGGCAACCAAACTGGCAACCAAACGTTGGCTGAATCAGGAACACATCAACAACGAATCTTCCGCTCTATCCGAAGATATCCGTAAATTTGTAAATAGAACGGAGGCTTTACTACCGTAACATATTCTGTCTCAGTGATCCTAAAATGATCCTAGTGGCTATTGGGATCATTGGAATATTCTAGTTGAATTTTGAATAGCCAGGGGTAAAATCAAATCGGTGTGGTACATTTATTTATTGTACTTTAGGGGAGATGGGTTGGCATATGTTGTTATACAAGAATCCCACTCAGATTAGATGGAACACTCCGAGACGGATCTAGGCCGTACACGCTAATCTACACGCTGACCTACACGCTGACCTACCCGCTGACCTACACGCAGACCTACACGCTCACCCACACGCCGACCTACACGCTGAGATACACGATGAACTACACGCTGACCTACACGCTGAGATACACGCTGACCTACACGCCGACCTACACGCTGAGATACACGCTGAACTACACGCTGACCTACACGCTGAGATACACGCTGACCTACACGCCGACCTACACGCTGAGATACACGCTGACCTACACGCTGACCTACACGCTGCCATACACGCTGACCTACACCTTGTGTACACAACCTCCACTGCCAGTTTCTGTGTCGGGATCCATTAAAAAACTCTCACCGGAAGTACCAGTCACGTGCTTTATCTGGAGTCACTGTTTAACTATTTACATGACGACATTGAGCCAACTTCCGGTCAGGGAAATCTGACCTTTACTCAGCCACCCTCACCCCACCGCCCACTGAAGTGTCTATAATTCAGAAATAGGTCCAGTTGATGAAACTCAATGTATGAGTTTACGAAACAATTCTTTTAATAGAAAGTTGATTTTATTGTAGGAAACTATAATAGAGGTCTTCAGTAGAAATTTGATTTTAGATCTTAAAACAGTAATAGACTTGATTAAAACTTTGATGTAATCAATATTAATCAGGATCTATTCATTGTCTTTCTATTATTATTCACCTCTTGCATCTTGTCGCTGCCTCTATCACAATTTACGACACTATTTGAGACACGCCCTTGTCAAAATTGACACTATGTGACCCCCCTTCCTTCTGCCGTAACATCTAACAACGGTAACACATTTTTTTTAATAAAAAAAAGTAAGGCGGCAGCTAAATAGAGCTCCCCGCTCCATCACTCTCTGTAGATGGGTCAAGTAAGCTGATGTCCTACGTCCCGCACACCGAGGTGGACGCCTCTGACAGTGAAACCCCACAAGTAGCCAACCAAGGTGTCTCTCCACAGGTGAGCGATGTAGCCACGTCCCCATCACACACACAGACGCCTTGATAGTGAAACCCCACAAGTAGGCAAGGAAGGTGTTCCATCCCCCCCCCCAACAGGTGAGTGTTGTAGCCACGTACCCCACCCCCAACTTCTACAGGGACGCCACTGATGGTGAAACCCCAAAAGTAGGCAAGGAAGGTGTCCCTAACAGTGAGCGATGTAGCCATTCTCTCCCCTCCTCCCCCACCCCAACACCCACACGGATGTCCCTGACAGTGAAACCCTACAAGTAGGTCACCAAGATGTCCCCCCCTCCCCCACAGGTGAATGATGTAGCCACGTCCCCCCCCCCCCCCCCAACACCCACACGGATGTCCCTGACAGTGAAACCCTACAAGTAGGTCACCAAGATGTCCCCCAACAGCAGCCTCTATATCACTAGAATCGATACCAGGCGGGAAGCGATACTTGCAGCGATACATCATTTTCTCGCATGTCCCCCTGCATCTTGGAGATTTATGATCGTTTTAAAAAACACATTTTAAATTTGGCTCTGTGGGCCATAGGTGAGAGGGCCACGTGTGACTTATTTGGCTCTGTGGGGACAGTGTTTTTTCCAGGCATCCGGTACACACACCACCCTATTGAAAAATATCTGAAAGAAACCCCGTTTTAGGCCGCTAACCATACCACGGCTGGTGAAACCGTCTAACTTTACAGTGAGCGCAGGCGGTTTTTCCTCCCTCAAAATCCACATGTAAACTGAAGTAGAGTTGATCTGTTTCTTTGACCTCAGTATGTTTAAGATTGTGGGTCGGCACTACAGAGAAGCGTCATGGTTGTCAAGGTGACCAGCCCAGCTGGCTGGACTACATGACGTCACTTAGACTCATTAAACAAAACTCGAGAGTTAAGGGCTATTTATTGTATGGGTTAGTATTGTGTGGGCTAGTAATTGTGTGGGCTAGTAATTGTGTGGGCTAGTAGCTGTGTGGGCTAGTAATTGTGTGGGGCTAGTTATTGTGTGGGCTAGTAGCTGTGTGGGCTAGTAATTGTGTGGGCTAGTGATTGTGTGGGCTAGTAATTGTGTGGGCTAGTTATTGTGTGGGCTAGTAGCTGTGTGGGCTAGTTATTGTGTGGGCTGGTAATTGTGTGGGCTAGTAATTAATTGTGTGGGCTAGTAATTGTGTGGACTTGTAATTGTGTGATATAGTAATTGGGGTGGGGGGGGTGGGGGGAGGGGGTCAGAAACTGATAGCAATCCACGTGATTTGCGTTAACAACCCTCCCCCCACAACACACACACAATCACATGATTTGAGCTAGGAGCCCACACATACCTACATCCACATGACTTCAGCTAACAATCCACCCATATCCACTCCCATCCACCCATATTCACCCACATCCACCCATATACACTCACATCCACCCACACCCACCAACACCCACATCACTTCAGCTAAACAATCCACTCACACACCCACCACCCACCCACACCCATCCACACCCACATCCACATGAGTTCGATCCATCAACACCACCCCCCCAGATTTTTATCTCCGCGCAGACAGCCCAGCGGAAGTTGCCCTAACCAGAAGCGACTGGCGGAAATTTCTTGCCGTTGTAAAAACCTACCCAAGTTTGACAGTTTAAATTTCTCACTTACGCAGTTTTCAAATCTGTCCCAATACACTGGAGAGTTCCACTGTCAGCACGTGCTAATTACTCATCGTTATCGTCCAGCCGCTCATTAAAAACTATTTTAATTAAAAGACGCAGATAAAAGACGGCTTTTTT